TACTCAACCCACCAACAGTTAAGCATGTCCAAGATCAGCCTTTGAATGATTCCTCTATGTTTGGGTTTCAACATCCCATATTTTACTATGAAGGTGATGTGAACCATTCAAAAAGCCTCACACCATGAAAGGGAAATATATGCTAACTCTCACCTATTTTATTCTAGGTTATAAATATGTTATGACTCATAATCATTCCTGAAAAAAAGATAACAAGTGTGAGTAGTGCATAAATGGCTCTTTTTCAATAAAATCCTTAATCCAGTCAATCATTAATTGACTGGATCGAGTTAAGTCTACTTATCAGTGTTTCTTCCAACAATGGAGAACTAGGTCAACAGCCATAACCTTGAGAGTACTAAGGTCATGTACTTATTTTCCAGAAAATTTCTAATATCCAGGAGAATATTAGGAATTGCACCAGGGAAATATTGGCCAAGTTGCATGGTATCAGCAGGCCTACGATCAGCCACCCAGCAGTGAGAATAAAAGAGAAAGACAGAAGACCAAAAAGAATATTGATGAAAGATTGACATGTAAGCTCCAATTTTCCAGTTTATTTATGTCTTCCCTTCTAGCAAAGCCCTTCTTCAAAGCCTCCATCACACATCTCCTTACATTCATGATCTGTTACTTTCCATTCCCCAATATGGCCAATGAGGATCAAAACCAAGCTTCTTGCAGGGTGAGGGGCATCTAGACATAAAAATGTGAAATGGGGAAAGGAGACTTGACAAATGCCATATATATTCTGTCTGGAGTAAGCCTAAGTGGTCTCATGGCATTACTAATATGTTGAAAATCAACTGCAAATCTTCTGAAAACTGCTTTTAAGGAATTGGGGAATGGAAGTAGAATCTTTTAACTTTGAAGAGGTAATTCCACACAAATTCATTATAATGCAGTGAAACATATTTAAGAGAATGAGAAAGACTTCAATGTACAAAGAGCTCATATATTTTGGAGATAATTATGTTATTATCGTAAGTATACAAAAAGCTTTTAACAGATTCAAGTTTTGCTGATTTTTTTCTCCCATATGTACTGTTTGATACATGATCTGTCAAAAGTATAGGTGTATCCTGCTTCACATCTGATAATCTCTGAGATAGAACTTCAGGTATCAAAATTAATCTGAATGATATAGTATTTGAGGAAGAAGGAAAGAAGGAAGGGAGGGAGGGAGGAAATCATTCTTTCTTTTCACCTATGTTCCTCTGAAATGTAAAAATATCCATGGAAATAAAAAGGAGGGTATTCTTTCAGGGCTTCCCATGGCAAATCTAAACAAAGGCCACAGTCCAGCAGAAACTTAAGAATGTTTAAACTCATAAATCAATTATGATTTAACAGATCTAATTCTGTGCAGGATTGTAGCAGTAGCTCTTTTTCCTCTTCTCAAAATCACAATAAGGTCGACAAAAGAATTATCTTTCATCCCTCCAATTCCATTCACTGCAGTGGGCAGTGCAGAATGTCCCCTGCTGTGTCAGCTGCAGCAAGTTTGGTCAAAAATATCTGGGCACAGATGGTAGGTAGGAAGACACACTTTGTCACTTGGAAAGGAAAATAATTGTGAGTGTGAAAATGTGTATTCAGGTTATCAACAACTTAAAAAAGGCAAATGTGGTGTAAATACTTCATTCAGGCAGTCAATCCAGTATTGGAAAGTTGTTTCTTGATTTTTCTTAAGCAGATTGTAAAATGTTTCCAAAACTAAAGGACAGATGCTATGTAATGCTAACTTAGCATATTATAAATTTAGCACAAGTGTCACAGTGGCAGGACAAAGTTCAGATAATAGGAAAGATCATAATCTTTAATGATTCAAATGTTCTAGTCTAATAACGGAAAAAGTAAGATAATCTTACTTAACAACATACAGGCACATAAATGCCAGTCACACCTCTCCCAATGTTTGAATAAGAGGTGTTATGGTCCTGTTTGATCTGTTTTTCAAGGAGAAGGAGGAGCCAAAGCCATAGACCTGAAGGGATAATAAATCTGGAAGTGGGTGAATCTAGCAGTGATTAAACATATGACTCCCCTCTGACTAAAGCAGAACAGCAACCCCAGGACTCTGTGCTCATACCCACTGACAGCCTCTCAGACTCTGAAGTCCAACCATTCAGTCCAGTGGTGGGATTCAAACATTTTTACTACTGGTTCTGTGGGCGTGGCTTGATAGGCGTGTCATGGCATGGCTTGGTGGACGTGGATTGGTGGGTGTGGTCCTCCCCACTGCTTTGGAGGTTTGCTGCAAAATCCTCATTTCCTCCCAATCAGCTGGGACTCAGGACACAGAGAATAGATGGGGCAGTGCCAATCAGAGGTGGTATTTACCGGTTCTCTGAACTACTCAGAATCTCCACTACCAGTTGTCCAGAAGGTCAGAACCTGCTGAATACCACGTCTGATTCAGTCCCAAGCAGCCATACTTTATAGACCCAATTACAGAAGCCTGAACTTCATAGGTGAGATAGCCTGGCCAAGAAATTGGCCAGCAAGAGAATAGAATCTAATAAGTAAGATGCTTCAACTGTACATTTAGGAGGTGACTCAGACTAATTTCTTTGTTGGCCTTCTTTCCTGAGGGAAAATGGGGAGAACAATTTTTCAAGTTGAAGTTGTGAACTATGGGTTCCATTTCATGTAACTTATTTTTTGCCTAAGATTTGTTGTTTGTTTATTGGATTCCTGGTCTTGACCTATGTTAATTTTTTGGCCCCATTGTTCTAAGTTGTAGGTAATAAGATTATTTGTTTCTAAAAGTTCTGCCCGAGTTTGGCTATCTCTCAAGTGTGGCAGGCTTGCTGCCTTGTTGGCATGCAGTGAGAAATTCCAGCACAGAAAACTTGGTCTAGAATTATGATTTGACAGATCTAATTCTGTGCTGGATTGTAGCAGTAGCTCTTCTCCTCCCTACCTAAAAGGGAAAAAGGGCTAAAAGTGACTGAATTTTAGGAGGATGCTAAATAAAATGAATAGTTCCTTCATAGTTGATCTTAAAATTTGGAAATGTTGATAGTTGATGCCCATCAAGTAAGTTGGAAATATACTGTATAAGGAAGGACTGATAATGGAACAAGTACTTTAAAATGGAAACGGAAATATTCAAGAATTCCAGTACAATCGATGTAGTATCAATACAAAAAATCCAATAACCCTCATTCTACTTCAATTTAAATGTATTGAATTTCTTCAGAGGTAGCTCCATTCAGAGTTTATGAACTGACTGTTACTACTGTAGGGATAAGTAAGACAGGGGCCATGTTGTCCAAAAAAGGATCACATCAAAAGCCAGCTGAAAATGTCTGCATCGGTCTTCCTTACCAAAACAGGTGATCCTTGTTTAAAAAAATCATTGTTCGGGGACTGTTCAAACTTACAATAATACTGAACAGGTTTTAGGGCTAGTTATGGCTTGTCCTCAGAATCCTGGATGTTGCAGTGTTCCTACTATCATATGATTTGCTTTCCTGCTATCTTCCGACAAGCAAAGTCAATGGGGAAGTCAACATGTAGTACGTAGCAAGTTGTGGTCTTATTAGGTCCTTATTTAATGCATACTCTTCTTGCTCAACGAAACCTGGGACTACCAGAATTAAGTGGGTGTTGCTTAACAATGGAATGTCAAGCCCCAATTAGTGACATTGCTTAATTAGTGACCACAATAACACTTCCAAGACTATCTGAATGAGGTTGTAAATATCTAGATGACCACTGGAGGGCAACAAAGAGCTAAAAGTCTTCCCATCTCCATATTCGTGTGTGTTTGGATTTTTAATCCTATTCATTTTGTCAAGCTTAATTTCCTTTTATTCACCTTCATGATGGTATTAATAATCACCTAGCCATGTGATAGTTTTGATCTAGATTTTCCTCAGGCTTCTTTTAAAAGGCCCAAAACCAAAAGAATAAGCCAATGAGCCACTAGAAGAAACCTAAAAGAGTGCTCAATAGAGTTATAGTTTATCAACTGTTTAGGATGCTACATAGTATTAGATAAATCAGGCATCTTGAGCCATGGTGACACAGTGGTTAGAGCCCAGTACTGCAGGCTACTTCTGCTGACTGCTGGCTTCCTGCAATTTGGCAACTCACCAGGCTCAAGTTTGATTCAACCTTCCATCCTTCCTAGGTGGGTAAAATGAAGACCCAGATTGTTGGAGGCAATATGCTGACTCTGTAAACCACTTAGAGAGGGCTGTAAAGCACTGTGAAACGGTATATATGGTAGGTCTAAAGTGCTATTGCTATCTTTTTGCAGATTTCCTCACAAGTAGTTCCTAAAGATTTTTCACCACCAACTTCACCTATTACAACGATTCTATCATGGTGTGTGGGTCTTTATTGCTACCACTATTAACACGATTAACAAGTATAACCAAGAAAACAGTGAAAGAGGTTCTCCCTTTGTTGAGTCACTCTTCAGTTGAATCCCTTTTCTGCCAATAAATGTCCAAAAAGAAGATGATGCAGTTTGACAAAAGTCATGAATAGACATGCTAAGGCCCCAGGGAGGACTAGATGTGATCACGTTAATACCCCCAAAATAATTTTAATAACCCAGAAAGATATTTTAAAAATATAAACTAACTGCCTTTAAATTAGATTGAGGTTTTTCTCCAGGGCCTATCTCCTTGTAGTTCAACTGGCATATCATTCAAAGGCCAAGTGAGAACCAAGTTGTAATTGTTTGTGACTGAACAACAAAGAGGCTATTAGTGATGATTAACATGATTTTATTTTATTGCTATTTTACGATGATAAAAAATATTTTGAATTCTCCAGTGAACAACGTCAAACATGCAATGTCTATGTTCCAAAGGTATTTTTTTCAAGAGACCACTGGACTTTCTGATGTTTCTTTCTTACCAGACAGTCCAACTGCCTCTTGAAAAAAGTACTTTTGGGACAATCATGACTGGATGACTGAGAATCTCTACAGACATTAAGCAATGTCTATGGCACAGTAAATGGAACATCCATTCTTTCTCTTTCCTTCTTCCCAAAAGCTGCAGAGCAGGGACAAATTAATTTATATCAAAGGCCTGAACAACGTTCTTGTATCATAGTTATTAGTCCCAGAGTACACGTGAGCATAGAGCTGCAAGTTGCCTCTGCTCTGTTGCTCCTCCCTTTCCTCCATCCATGAATCATGACTTTTCTGTAGAGCGAAATGAAAGGATAGATGGACAATGTGATTAGCTTGCATAGAGAAAACAGTATAAATACATCCATGAAATTCTTTGTGTAGAGGCACAAAGCTTCCTCTTGTAGGGGTTTCCCCCCCTTCTTTTTATGCTTCTCTGTGTTACCCTCACTATTTTAATTATCAGTTTTCTTAAAAAAAAACATGTTTAATTAGAAGACTTTAAATCCCTCATTAGTACATATTCTCATGCAGAACTTGAAATGGGAGTGATTATGAACTGTTCTAAAAAAAACAGATTTCTCCTCTTAAAAGATTGGAATTATTGTTTATATCAATATGCATATTAGTTTATCTCAAGATGTGTTAGATTACATTCAT